CTATGACAAACTACAGCATGAGTATCCACAACTGATATTTACAGTTCTATGTATACAAGGGCTAGAATCTCCTACACAGATGTCTCCTTCCTCCCAAACCGAGACTGGAAATTAAACACTGCTTCCTCCTTTTCAGGGTGAAGAAAATCACTGCACAGAGGAGGTGGTTGCAACTGAGGCAAACAGAGCACAGGTGGAAAGGCGGGTGCTGGTGTCCGGGATGATACCTCAACATATCGTAGAGTCTCTGTCATCAAATCAGATGCATACCCTGAAATGCATAGACAATATTTAAAATTTGTAAAATATTGAGGACTCTATCTCTGTTGATAAATACAAGTATCATTCTCGTGTTTTGCTTGGTATTGAATAAAATTAAATTCAACATATTTTGTTATTTATATATACATTTTTTTTTTTTTGGTTGTTCAATTTTTAAACGAGGAGGGACTTTTACAATTTTTTTTTTTTTAAAGGTGCGTTAATAAAAGCATCTTACCAAACGTTGAATCTACAGTCTTCATGCGAACACTATATTCGCCATGCTTGAACTTGGGAAAGCTGATCTTGTACTGCAGGTTTCCCTCCTTTGTAACTGCCTGCATTCTTGAAGAGTTCTCATTAAAATGGAGAGCAGCAACCATCAACCTACATAAAATTTTTAACCTTGTAGATTACAATAAATAAAATCTCCATCTGCTTTCTGTATTGTAGAAATTTAAATAAGAAATGATATAAAAAAATATCCAATATTACTGTGTAAGCATACCTGCAGTACATGCCATGATAAGAGAAGGAAACCATCTTGGGGGCAAAGTGATTGATAGTGCTATGGAAAGCCTCAATCTGGGATGTTTGGTGCAGTGGGGACAGCTTGGGTATATCTTTCTTCATCTGATTGGACAGGATAATATCGCAAATCTTCTCACTGGCTTTCGTTCCTTTATGAAAACAAAATGTATACTTATTGTACAGGATTTTTCCCTTTAACAAGGCAGTTATGAAATTTGCCAATAAAGAAAGTAATAATTATTTATCAATTCTAAAATAAGGTTTTACCTGGTTTTATCCACTTCTTTTTCTGCTCATCACCCTCTAACGTGTCATGGGCACAAGATGGGAAGAGGTCATTGTGGCCCTCATGAATATTGTGGATATGGTTTTCCACAGACTCCCACTTTGCCCACATGAAGTCCCCATTCCCATCAGGTGTTGAAGCTGCCACCCAGTACAAGTGGTTGGTCAAGCTCTTGATCCATTTGGCAAGATTCTCACACTCCTTCTGTTTGGATGCAGCTAGGATCTTTTTCTTTAGACCTGAAAATATTTTGGAAGCCATGTTTACAGAGTAAAATTAATATGTCCCATCTTAAGATGGGCATATAAAAATCATAATTTAACTGCTTCATTTCATCTTTTACATTCATAACTTTTTAAATCATACATGTTAATAATAACTTTGGAGATAACTCAGTAGAAGTCATTATAAAAGTTAAACATCAGCTAATGTTGATTCTGTACAAAGATGTCTTTAAATACATACAATTCAAATACTGGTAAAGAAAGAAAAGAAAAAGAATACCTTTTGCCACATGCCAAACATCATAATAGTGTGTCGTCTCCGTCAAGTTCTCCCTGATCCACTTTTGTATCTGGACATGGCGGTCAGTCACTATCGTACCAATCTCCAAATCTTGGTCTTTCATCCAGGCAATAGTCCGCTCTAATCCCTTCTTCTCCATTCCCAAGCTGTTTTTTACTTCATTGCTCTACAAAATTTAATCAGATTTCATTAACTTCACAAAACTTCAACCAAACACCTAAAGTTAGTACACATTTTTTCCCCTCATTAGATCCTTTTTAGCATTTTATTTTCATGTATACTTTGTTGAATCTTTTCAGCAGTGTTTGAGTGATAGTTTTATTTAAAATAATGATAAAATAATTTTTTTTTTTTTAAAACAGTTCATCTTTAATTTAAATAAAAAGTGCAGATATTTATCGAAATAACTTGTTTACCTGAACCAGCTGGATATCAATGACAATTCCTTCCTCAAGGTCAATGGTGCTGTACGAGCCAAACTTTGCACAGTGACCAGGGGAGTCAGCTCGCCCATCTCCACCAATAACCAGAGGATCTCCTCTTTCCAAAGCTCGACTTGCATACTCCTGCTGGTGCTTGTCCCACACACGAGCAATTACAGGAAACAAAATGGCTGACTGGTGGGAATTGAATGTTCTTCTGGTAATGGTTGCAACCCCCATGCAGTTCAGCACACGAAGAACTTTGGACACAAGGGCACCAGAAAACAGTATGGCGGCAGATAACCCAATGTTCCCAACAGGAATATTCCCAATGAATGGCTGACTGCTCCACTGCCAGGTAAACCCACAGAACTCACACTCCACAGCAATCTTCACCATTGTTCCAAGCACCTGCTGTACACTTGCTGCTGTATACTTGTGGCACCTCCTGCAGTTACTGAACAGCTCAAGCAGCTTGGTTTCGGAGATGATAAACTTCCTGTCTTCCAAGGGGTTGCAGGGTGCTTCAGTGCTACAATTTTTAAAAGATTAAATTAATTCCAGGGAAATAAAAATTGCCAAAAGAATTGAGGCTAACATATTCATTTTCTCTTCATAGTAAACTTTTTGAAGCAATTCTTAGGTAACTGATCAATGACCATAGCCTAATCACTTACTTGATATCCTGTACATGAGAATCATCTGAACTAGTGCCAGAAGGTTCATACAATGAGGCAGTCTCATTCTCCGTCTGGATAGACTCTTCACCACTAGAGGAATCAGGAACAGGAACAGGTGCTGGAGGTGGACGTGGAGCAGGCAAATCATCTCGTACATCAACCTGAATACCAATGCTTCGAACTCTGGGTTGTAGGTCAACTTGTAATCCTAACAAATTACATATAAACATTATATGTCATTGTGAGAAAACAAGATTTTTCTCTTAAAATTTATATTTAGGAGGAAGAACAATGATCTAATTAGTCTTATGCATATGAACTTGCAATTTTTTAAAATTGAATACTACACACAAATTAGGTACTGATAAGTTAAATGTTTTCCTCTCTTTTCAAAATTGAAAAAGAAATGGTGAAAGGGGGTATATAAACGATACTACATAATATAATTCAGTTATAATAATCATCAATGAGTAAATATGTAATAATCCCTGAATGTATGTCTTTCAATACCAGCTTAGGGGTCATAGTCCATAAATGTACATGTTCTAATATAATAAATGTTTTTTAAAAAAAAGCCAAACTAGCCATGGGGAATCAGATTGAGAGTACCAGGTATATTGCAGTAATAATCAAAGAATAAAGAATGACAATTACAACATATTATTATCTTATGTTGCAACAAGTTACTTCGAATAAGTACCTTTTTCCTTATTCCTTGCAGCAACTTGAATCTTTACGCTACGTTTTCGTGTTGATTCTGTCTGACATGCCATAGACACACTTTTCTCCTCCTAAAATGAACAGAAAAAAGATTAATAAGTAATCCGTAGAAGTATAATTGTGGCCTGCATACTTTACAGCAATATTTTTATCTCTTTTCTTTAATAATACTCGTATGAATAGTACAATTTTTTCTTCCTTTCACTAAATTTAGAACAAGTGCAAGTTTCTGTTTTATTAGTCCCCTACCGGTGAAACCGGAGGGGACTATAGGTTTCCTCTGAGTCTGTCCGTCCGTCTGTCCGTCCGTCTGTCTGTCTGTCCGTCTGTCTGTCTGTCTGTCCCTCTGTCTGTCTGTCAGTCTGTCCCACTTGGTTTTCCGCACTTTTTTCCTAAACGCTTGCAGATATTGAGCTGATTTTTGGTATGTGAGTGTATCTTGATGAGTTACAGATCAAGTTTGCATTTCGTTCCGCTTCATTGATTTTTGACGGAATTACGGCCTTTTCAATTTTTAGGGGTTTTCCGCAATTTTCTTCTAAACGCTTGTAGATATTGAGCTGATTTTTGGTATGTGGCTTTACCTTGATTAGTTATAGATCAAGTTTGCATTTCGTCCCGCTTCATTAATTTTTGACGGAATTATAGCATTTTCAATTCTTAACGGGAACAGAACCAGATTACACTTGCCGGTAGGGGACTAGTATTGCTAATGCAATACTCTCAGAATGCTTGTTTCATAATAGTTTACTCATACACATATGGACTTATTTGCATAGAGTCTAGTATTGTGGACATGTTAAGCAGGAAATTTAGATTTGGTTATTATTTATTTAGGGTCAAGTAATTTAAATTCAGAAGAACACAGCGATGAAGAATGTAATAACCATCTCTTTTAATCTTATATCTGAACTGAATAAATCTTCATGATATTGTGAATAATGCACAAGATGCATGATAACATCATTTATATTTAACAAAATAATCATTGAACTTTTTCTTAAACGAGGCAAGCTGACAAATTTATACTACATTTTTTATTTCGTATATTTTTGTTGACCTAATCAATCTGTGCAGAGTTATCTTAATTATGCCCAAACAAAAGTCATAGGAGATGTCAATTTAAATAAACATACATGTATCTCTTACTACACATCGGATCCTCACCAATCTATCCTTGTTTAATACGCAATACAGTAATAACCAACTTATCAGTTGTAAAAATCATTCTTACATTCATGGTCCTCATGGGACTTAGAACCGAAAGTTGAATAGCAAGTTGAATACCGATCCCAATCGGAATCAAGATGACGAATTGAACAGAAAAGAAATTGAGACAGAATTAGATGAGAATCTATGATTTTTTTTTTTAAATAATGGCCTAAAAAAAGATAAATAAAAGATGCATCAGCATGTGGAATAAGAAGAGAAAATTTAATAAAATCATTCTTTCTTTTCAGTTGGTTTAGTACTACATATATTGTGTAAACATAATTATATAAAGCTAAGGTGCAAGGAATGTAACAATTTACACATTTCTCTCTATTTTTTTTTTTGGTTCTTAAATATGTTATATCATACCGAAACAGGTGTGGGAAAGGGAACAGGCGTTGTTTGGATCCCAACACATTCATCCTGGTCTTGTGACTCTTCCTGTATTTCTTCAACCTCTGTGTTGTCATGAAGCAGCTCTGCCAATACCTGCGATAAAATAATGAACAAATTTTAACACAAACAAATAATATAAATTTGAATAAGTTTAAGATATTTCAGTGAATACCCAGTGTAATTTACTTTCTGTTTAACAAACAAAGAACATGAAAGCATTTTTAGTGCAGATGAGGTCTTTTTTCTTATTCCGAATTTTCTCACCAAAAGTCTACAAATTTCTGAAGTTAATATTTTTTTATTATCGAATCACCACCATTTATAGATTAAAACAAAATAGAATAGAACAAAAAAAAACTAACCCTATTCCTCTCACGCTTTGCATGGGCTCCTCGTACTGGAGTAGGGGTGTTTACATGAGTGCGGGACGGTTCGCCCCGAAAGACCATTCGCGCTGAGACGTTTCGCCCCTAGACCGTTCGCGCCGAAGATTAATTAATTAATTATGCGGTAATTATCACTTGTTAACAGCAATTATTTAATACTTTTGTACTGTGTTATATTAATTCAATCCATTGGTTCAATCAATAAAACCAATTTATATGGGATATATACTAACTTAGACGTGACACTCTGAAGACCTGATTGAGATAATTTGGCCAGTATGGGGGAAATATTAATAGATGATGTGAGAAAACAGCAACTCGTGATTATTTTAATGACATGATGATTTAAAAAAAACATCTATTTTGACAGACATAGAAATATATTATGGTATGTCACTTGTGAACTTAGTAATATCAAAAGATTTTTTGAGAAGAATATTTTTGATAAGTACTTATATAGCATTGCTCAAAATCGCAAAGAAAATTGGAGTCAGTGTGCATCCTATTGAGCAACGGTAAAATGAACTTGACACCTGTCTCATAATTTCATTCTCCTCTTCATCTTGACATGGAGAGTCTCCAAATTATAACACCTTAATTACAAAACTAAATCAGACAATTATGATTGCTGAATAAACATAATTATATCTGCACATGGATAAGTATACCTTTAATTATGGTATAAGCCTATTTTCAACAATTTAAACATGAAAGTGATTTACCTTATAAAGTTATATAAAAATATTTATCTTAAAACATCGTAATATATCGTTATAGATAATGTAGATTAAATTCGGCGCGAAAGGTCTTTTGGGGCGAATGGTCTCGGCGCGAAACGTCAATAGGGGCGAAACGTCTCGTTACCGTTTACATGGGGAGACTCCAGGAACGCATCGTTCAGTTGGTCTCTTTTCCGCTTGGGATATATGCTTGGTATGGACCCCTGGCGTAGACGCTTCTTCGCTGGGATCCCAAAGTCCTTCATGAGCGAGAAATGTACCTCATAGCAATCCTCGTTGAAATGGTCACTGCAGATAACGGTGTATTTCGAAGGACCAGACCAGTCTGCCCTCGTCAGCTTCACAAAACGACACCAGGCCGCTCGCAGTCGCTCATCTTTGGGGAAAACATGAACCGACACGCCATCTGACTGTCTTTTGCTGCATCCCGCTACAACACACATGCGTCCGACACTTTTGCTGGCCATTATTCGCCGGAAAACACGCACAGGTCAATAGAAGACTTTCTAAAAATGGCGCAAACTGATGTGTTGTGACGTCACTTCCGTTTTAGCTAGGAATAGCCTCGTTTTCGGTATCGTAAAGGTGTATATTTTTAAAATTTTCAGTTTTTTGGCGATATCTCCTTTATAAAATCGACTTTGTTGGAAAAACTTGCTTTTCTAGATATTTTAATACTTAAACAAAATATATAATACCACTTTATCATCTACTTCCCAGACACTTTAATAGGTCAATTTGGGACAAGGTCATCTACCTGTCACTTGCAATTTACGTATAATTGTATGAAATTAGGAGGTGTGTAGCGATGAAAATGTATTACAAATTAAGAAAGACCATTCAATTGGAAAATTTTGATTGTTAAAAGACAAACAAAATACTCAGTTGCAGTACATGCACATGGTATATAGAACCAATACATTAATGAATAAGTGAACTAGTATTTCAAAACCTCAACAGACCAGATGCATCTTGTCAGCAGATCTGAAGAATCTAATCACACCTACATGGCTATGTTGTAAGAAGGGAGGGAAAGTTACACATTTAAATGCGCGCCTGCGTCAAGCAAGGAGATTGCAAATACTGGTAAGGTAGTATTAAAAGCAAGTAACTGTTCGTAACTCAATTTTGCTGAGCGATTTGGGGAACAGTTCCTTTGCACTTATTTATGTGAGCGTTGCAGGAAAGCAACTGGTCACTTTGAGTAGAAGAGGAGTTCCGGCGTTTTGGTTGCTTGGGTGCTTCTTGAGACTGCTTCAATCGACCATGATAGAACGCCCTTTTATTAAAAAGGACGTTTCTTTTGATGACTTTGTAAACTAATGTATACATGTATATTGAAATTGGATATTGAAAAAGTAAGTTAGTAATCAACATTCAAATATCTTAACAAATTACCTGAGTGGGCCAAGACCCGAGAAAAATTGCTTAGTATATACATGTACGTGCAAGCATGGTTTTTTTTTTTAAAATAGCACCCCGTGCGGCTTCGATTTGGTTGTTTGATAAAGCTAAAATATATATTTAAAATGAATATTTGTTTTAACGTTTTTATTTCACATATGTACTATTGCCCGTGACTGTTTAAAAACACCAATGACAGCTAAGTTGAAGTGATAGCAAGTATGGAAGAAGCCGAAGTCACTTGGATAGGGAGGACAGCGGCGCATTAGCATTCGGAAACGCCAGTAGAAAACTATCACCAGCAAACATGAACTACTGCAAGTGTAAGATCAGGAATAGTCCGTATAAAATCAACTGTGGAATATTGTCTCAAAGCCCTCTATAGGAATGAAATATATGGAGATAACGAACAGTATTCAAGCTCAAAAGTCCATTAAATAATACAAAGTAGGAGCAGAGCAAACACGAACCTCCAAAACATCAGAGGTGGGATCAGGTGCCATGGAGGAGTGCGCGTCCCCTGCCGACCGGAAGTAAACCGGAAGTAAACCGAGCTTTGGCCAAAATACCACAGAATGGAATGCGTCATGACACGTCAAGGACTGCTGATCTTATAAAATGTGGCCCGAGCCAGTCCTTTAGGGATATCGTTACTGCTGCAACAGAGAATAAACCAGGCATAACAGTCATACGTTGGCGCTTACTGGAATCTCCCGAGACTAACGAGGAAAATCCAAAGGAATGGGATACATTAAAGAAGGCATCTGATTAAAATAAATCAGTCATACATGACGGAATTGGCTTGATTACAAATCGCACTTTGAGGCACGCTCTCAGCATTGAAAGACTGAAGTATAAAAGAATAGGGACTTTATTTGGCAGTCTCTTTGAAGAGACAAGAGCAAGGTTGCTTGGACGTTTAAGTAGTGAACATGAAAGAAACTGCGATGAACTAATCAAAACACTTTAGGATCATTATGCTCCGCGAATCAGATGAGGTCATTCCGGAGGTCAATACATATTGCTTACCCTACAAAACCAAATGACGTCCATGAAACCATTTCAAGACTACACCTTATATTTCCTACAAATATACATCGACTATTGCTTCCAAACTTTTTAATTACAAGAAAACTTTACAGAGCTTGGATATTGAGCATCTGATACATAATCCTCCTTCCTGTTCATGTTCTTCTTCACCCTACAACTATAGTCCTGCTGGACACGTTATTGCTGGTGACTTAAATATAGTTAATAATGAGAACCTTAAATCATTAATTTTAAAAGGGCCAAAATTTAAGTAACTGGCGTCAAAATTTCATAAATATTATGGATTCTGTGGAAGATTACGCCAGGCGATGGGCCAGATATGAAAAAGAAGACCTTGACACTTTGTCAGAATGGATTAATGTATCGGATGTATGTTAAAATTTTGCATTAAGCGTTTGAGGGGGAACATGAAAACCAACTATCCTTCTGTGTTCAATAATTAATAAAGTGAAAAAAGAATTAAATAAATTACACGATCAGTATGTACGGGTCCCTGCTGACAAAGCAGTTAACAACATTGTCTTTGTTTGTAAGGCTCATATTTAAAATTGTATTTTAGAGGAACTGGGATTTAATTCAACAAGTGGTAATCCAACCTATACCCATAGCTCCGTTTCTAATTAGGAAATTCTTCGAAATCATTTGTCAGTTTTGAATATTTTTAATATTCCCAACAACCAACATGAATTTGAATAACCATATCTATAATGGATTCCGAAACTTTATAACCAAGCCTCTTTCTTTACTCCTCACTAAAATATTAGTAGTGAAGGAGAAACTTCAGGAGAACTGTGCAACAATATATTCGAGGAGTGGTGTAAATCAGATGTGGATGCTTGAAAATTCCAAGGAACTTTTGGAAAATTTGAAATTACAAAATTTTACTAAAATCAACAACATAAAAACTTACGACTTTTCAACTTTATATACAACCACTCCCCACAACAAATTAAAGTCCTGGCTATTTGATATCATTGACAGCTGCTTTTTTAATGAAAATGGAACTCGTAAATTTACTTACCTTGTCATTGGACATTTGCAAAATTATTTTGTTAAAAAACATTCTGATTGTACACACAAGTACTCTGCAGTTGATATTAAAAGATGCTTGAGTTTCTGATTGACAATATCTACTAGTATGTGGTTTTTGGAGACTAGGTCTTCCAAAAATGTGTTGGAATTCCCATTGGTACCAATTGCGCCCCATTATTAACAGACCTATTTTTGTATTCATATGAGGCAGAATTTATTCAAAATCTTGTACGTGAAAAGAAGAAAACACTTGCTGTGGCCTTCAACTCGACATTTAGATATATCGACGACGTATTGTCAATTAACAATGGTTATTTCCATTCGTTTGTCGATACGATATATCCCATTGAGCTTGAAATAAAAAATACCACAGAGTCTAACACATCCTTTTCATATTTGGATATTTTACTAGAAAAAGACGTTAATGGTAATCTAACAACCAAGCTTTATGATAAACGCGATGACTTTAACTCTTCAATCGTCAACTTTCCTTACTTATGCAGCAATATACCATCATCACCTGCATACGGGGATTATATCTCTCAGTTGATTCGATACGCAAGAGCATGCTCAACGTATGAACAATTTCTAAAACGAGGTAAGTTATTGACAAACAAGTTGATGAAACAAGAATATCAGCAGTCTCGTTTAAACTCATCATTTCGTATGTTCTATGGTCGATACAATGACCTTGTCAGCAAATACAATTTATCATTAAGTCAAATGCTGACTGACGTTGTTCATACTAATTGTTAGGCCATTATTTACCCACTGAATTGTCGACGAATTTTTCCGTTATTACCCGATCATGACAAGAAGCACACGGCGGGTGTGACTGGTCGGCAGGGGATGATAACTCCTCCATGGCACCTGATCCCACCTCTAATGTTTTAGAGGTCCGTGTTTGCTCTGCTCCAAATTTGTATTGTTTAGTGGACTTTTGGACTTGAATACTGTTCGTTATCTCCATACATTTCATTCTAAGGAACAGTATTTATATGCTCGATTCCAGAAGATTAGCATACAATTCACATTTGTGTACAGCCAAAGTTGAAGATTCAAATATAATTCAAGCAAAGTCCCAGATAAACATAGAGATGTTGACGAAAACAACGATTTACAAAGTTCTGGAACTTAAGACGGAAAAACCTTTGGTCAGATCGCAATAACGGGAAGCGACGGCAACCTTCCAAAGCAAGAAAATATTACAATGGTCATGCAGAAGGACATATATCTGTCCATCTAAGCGTCTAAATAAAAAATCAAGGAGGAATAGTAATGTTTCTAAACTACAGGCCAAGGTTCTTGCTCTGGAATGTAACCAACAATATCAATTGCCAATCAGAAATAAGGGGAAGCCCGAGGACAACCTTGCATTCATATTGAATATGTATACACTTAAATCATCATGTCTGATATCTATATTTACTTAAATGAATGTAGTACCCAACTTAAGTTACATGTACATGCGAACCCAACCCATGAATAAATTTTGTAGTGATTGGAATAGACAAGATAAAGTCTAATTGACTTAACTCTCTTTGAACATAAATGATACAAGTAATAGCTTTTCAAAAAGCATGCCTGACTAAAGCAATACATGTCTAAAGTATAGGTATAAAAGAAAGCTGATTTGTTTGAAATGATTGTTAAATGAAGTTGATATATATAGAAATATTGACTAAGTTATTGAACATAATCGTTATCAGATTCCCTAACCATCATAGCTACTTCCATTCATATGTCGACTCGATATATCCAAGTGAGCTTGAAATAAAAGATTACACAGAGTCTAACACATCTGTTTCATATCTGGATATTTTACTAGAAAAAGACTTTAATGGTAACCTAACAACCAAGCTTTAAGATAAACGCGATGACTTCAATTTTTCAATCTTCAATTTCCCTTACTTATGTAGCAATATACCCTTCATCACCTGCATATGGAGTTTTTGTCTCCCATTTGATTCGATACGCAAGAGTATACTTGTCTTAAGTATTATAGATAAAGGTTATGTGTCAATCAAAAGCGTCCCAAAATTCGTAGCTTTAATAATTTTCAGATAAAAGAAGTTTCTAAACACACTTTTAATATATTTCAGTGTGAAATGCTCTAGCAACGTATAAATCATGATGTCATTTAGAAATTTTTTTAGAAATATGAGCTTCAAATCTGTGTCCCAGCCCTTTAACAATACAAATTCTAATAATTTTAATGAATATGAATTGTAGTGTATACTTTGATATAATTACTGCATGATGATTTTAAAAATGATTTTAATCTCAGGATTATGAAGAGAAAACAATATTTTCTAAAATGTAAGGAGTGAGAACGTACATGCAGGTTAAGTTAAGAAGTAAGCATTCAAATGAAAAGGTAATCACTAAGACTACTGACTAATACGTTGATTTTACAGGGATTTTAACAACCTCGTTTAAAGTAAGCATTTCATAAATTCTATAGTCGCTATATTTGGTAGGCCTTTGCTTTTAAAATTTGACTACGGAAGGTTCCATCTACCTGATCAATATATAAGGCTCACGTTGGGTATGACAAATCGACAGCGATGCTTATACCTCCTAAGCACCTGATCCCAACTTTGGAATTTACAGGGGTCCGTGTTTTATGCCCGATCACAAATTTTTGTAGGTTTGTTGAGATCGATCACTGTTCCTTATCTTCATGTTTGTCATTTATAAGATGAATTCTAAAGATAACAAACAGTAATCAAGCTCAAAAGCCCATTGAAACAATACAAATTTGGACTAGAGTAAGTATGGACCTCTAAAAACATCAGAGGTGGGATCAGGTGTCATGAAGTAGTAAGCATTCCCTGTCGACACGTCAAAATCCGTAGACAGTTCAGTGTGAAAATAACGGCCTAACAATTTGTATGAAAAACGTCAATCAACATTCGACTTAATGATAGATTGTATCTGCTGATCATAATTATTGTTCCATGGAAGTCATCACACATTCCAAGGAAAAACATTTGTCGCAAAATAATTGACCGTGTCACTCCTTTCATAGAAGACGAACGGAATGATCCAGTAGTATATAAATACAGAAAACTTTTTTCGGACATTTTTATAAAAGGAATAGATAGAATACAAGTTGCATGCAAAAACTCTAGAGGAAATAAACCCGTCAATATTTTTCACTATTTTGCAGACTGTTACTCAAGTTTGATAATTATTGTTGTTTAAACGGAAATATGGAGATAACGAACAGTATTCAAGCTCAGTCCATTAAAACAATACAAATTTGGAGCAGAGCAAACACGGACCTCCAAAAACAGAGGTGGGATCAGGTGCCATTGAGGAGTGATCATCCCCTGCCAACCGTTCACACCCGGTGTGTGCTCCTTGTCATGATCGGTAAATAACGGGAAAATCCGTCGACATATCAGTGTGTAAATAATGGCCTAACAATTAGTATGAAAAACGTCAGTCAGCATATGACTTAATGATAGATTTCATTTGCTGACAAGGTCACTGTATCGACCATAGAACATACGAAATGATGACTTTAAACGAGACTGTTGATATTTTTGTTTCATCAACTTGTTTGTCAATAACTTACCTCGTTTATGAAATTGTTCATAGGTAGAACACGCTATTGAGTATCGAATCAACTGAGAGATATACACCCCATATGTGATAAGGGAGTCAACATTTAGCTGGGTGCTTGTAACCCATGGTTTTGCACCATGGAAAAAATAATCCTAAACCTGACGCTTCCGGCATCAGACAATCATGCGTACTAATTTTCTGATGAATCAATAAAGCAAATTATATCGATTTAATTTATTGGTTATTAATACAATGATTTGTATACAGGTACAAGTTAACATTTGACAAATTAACAGTTTTCCTGACAATAAGAATACGGTGTATTTCATAAACAATCACAAAGAAAAACACACTATAAATAAATTAAACATGGCAGTTAATAACGGTAAGAAAACTACGAAGAAAAACCATACAACCCAAATTTCGTGAAAGTACTGGCTTTGATTGTCGGATAAGACGTAAGCTATTCGATTCCTCCATTCTAGCCCAAGAGTGCAATAAATTCCAGAGAGGGTGATATTGCTGATGACGTCATTCTGAGTCCGAGGATAAGCTACTGAATGCGTGCAACGTTAGTAGAAGAGGGACAGAGTCGTCGCCTGCAACGAACAGTCCCTACGAAACTTAGTGTCCCTGATATCAGTACACAAGTAAATATCAGAGCATGTCTATCGCCACAGTGTGATCGACACTTTCGTTTGAACCACGGGCATCTTTACTGTTTATCCGCTTGAAACTTCGTTTAAACATTTTTTGTCTCATAAGATTTTCTTTCTCACTAAATCTATGTGTGTCAGTTCTGCTGAATCGATGATTCGGACGGAAAGCAAGTGTACCTTGCTTCCATTTTCGGTGAATATTTTCAAGTCTATCCTCAAATATTTGCTGAAGGATAGGAGTTTCAGAGCTGTATCGCTCTCTTGAGGTTTTGGGCATGCGCGATTGTTTTCTATGGAATGTTCGGTACGTGGATCCAGGCGTTGGCGGAAGGGACGGCAACTCATCATATTGTTCAGACTGATTCGTCATGTCATCATCATAATCCGGTGGCAGATCATCATAATCGGGTTCGGGCTCCATTCTCTGTAAACGTTGAGCTTCGCTGACAACGAAGCGCACAAAGTCTTCTTCTGTGTGAACGGTTTTGAACCAATCAATTCTCGTGGTTGACATAAGATGAAGGAAGGTGCCCCAGCGGTGGATAAACATACTCAAGAATTGCAGTGCAATACATAACGCAAAGATTGAAAGAAACATGAGGGATAGCGGTTCATACTTGTTTATGATGTAGAAATTTTTAAGTTCGTCCTCCATAGATTGCAGTTGTAATGTAATGATGGTCCACAGGAAATTAATCATGCAGTAAATAAATACAACATTATTCTTCAGCGAAATCAAATCCTGCTTTATTTTCTCTTTGTGGCTCTTGTCTTCGTCTAAGGGATGAAGATATTTTTTTATCATAAATTTCCAGAAGTCAATTTCATCCGTTTCAAGGCGTGTGACAGGACCATTACCAAATACCTCCATTGTTGTCCAATAAGGATTTTCGGGATCGGGCTCCCAACCTTGGGGAACTACATCTACTTCCACTTTAGGTGTACTTTGGGATTCCTTCGATTGTCGCGACTGGCGTGTATCACGTGACATTTGTCTTTGAAGAAGGAAGCTCTCTTCCTCTGTTTGAACTTCCTCTGTTTTTGTTTCAATGGTGGCTTTCTGTTTAGCGTTTTGACCAAGGAAATTTTGAATTAGTTCCCGAGCGTCACTGATGAGATTTGTAAGACCCAGGCGGTTCAGTAAGCTCTTACTTTCCTTTTTCTTCTTTTTTTCTTCTTGTTGCTTTTGAAGTTCCTCTTCCTCTTCTTTTGTTAGTTTCTTCGGCGTTTCTCGAGTTCCCCAGGACACGTTGTTCAGGTTACACAAATAATAAACCGTAAGCAAAACAAAGGTAGATGGTACGGTCAAGAAGTACAATAGTCCGTAAACAAGACAGAAGAACTCTTGTGGATGGAGAATTCCAGCAATCACAAATATTATCACCAAACCACTCAAGAATACAACGTTAGGGCTTCCGAAATTTTCAGTAACTATACTTATAATGGTTCCAATCGTCGCGATCATCATGACGACCGTATACAGCGCTGTTATCACAGCGGCTGCCGTGATTTGATGATCGCTCTTCATCGTCATACAGATAACCAGATACACTACCACGGGAAGTATACTGAGAAGATAACCCTGCCAGATAGTAAGATGAAGTACTGAGTGATAAGAGCCAGTGACCATCAAAATGACAGTGGAGGGTGCTAAAATTGTGGACGCCATCAGGATAAACTGGTACATGATATAAGGCCGGCTAATATTGTCGTTTATTCGGACAGTATCTCGCCAGGATGATAGAAGGTCCATCATGTTAGCTAAGGTTGATGGTGACCAACGACGACGCTGATTGAAAAACTCATTAAATGTTTCAGGAGCAAAGGTCAAGGCATCTGCGCCTGCACAATAGTCGATTCTGTGTCCTTGTTGAAGCATCAGTGTACACAACCAACGATCTTCACCTAAAGAAATAATAATTTTTAATAAAAATGCAATTCAATTAAAAAATACTATCAACAAGTATACACAGTTCTCAAACAAAGTAGACCAAACACACACTAGAAAATTACCTTGTTCAAATTGTATGTAGTGTCTGGCTTCTGTGGGTTTCGTTGTATACATTTTCATGACGTTGTCGTCCATCAAAGCCGATCCCCTGAACAAACTGAAGCACCCAGGACAACAAAGTACGCAACCAAAGACGTGTTCCGCCGCCTTCTGAAGCCAGTGACCAACAGCGTACTCAAACTGCTGGTACCAAACCATAGGACCTAATAGTAAAGTTGTGTTTAAGATTACTAACCATGTGACTATAGTACTATAATACATTTATGTACCTATTTAGATAGATGTTTTATGCAGAGAAAACAAATCCAAGATGTTTTATGCAGAGAAATCAAAGCCAAGGACTTTGAAGAAAGTGTGAATTCCTCTTGTACACTGTAGTCATTTTGTTAAAGTAAAGTTTTCTGTTGTTTATCATTATCCTTGACTGTATGCCAGCATTGTAATGTCAGTAAAATTGAATTAATTCAGTATATATCCACCAATTTATTAATTAGGTTAAGGCAATGTTCGAAGTTTTATTCATAAATGTTATTTACACATCATATTTACCTGATCCAATAGGATGAATTCTCCCACAAACTGCTCCAACTTTTTTGTTTTTCTTCATCCTGTCAATCAGCAAACGGACAGATTCTGGTTTGAAATCGACGTCACCATCCAATGTGAGCATGAAAGTGTTTTCAGCTTGTTCGTATTGCTCAGGGCTCATTCTCATAAAGAGGGATCTAAGAGGGCGAGAGCGCTGGCTCTTCTTGGACTTCTTCTTGCGGTTCTTAAGCTTGGTTACTGAACTCTCGTTATCTTCAGTCATGTATTTGTCTGCTTCACTGGACCCAAAAAGTTTGTATCCCAAAAGATAGTACAGGTACATACACTGCAAAGAGGGACAGAAAACCAGTATGGAGATTTGATTCCTTGGATTGTATATATTGTGGTTTACCACAACACACTAGAAAGGATTATTTATAAGAAATATAAGATTTTCCTGGTCTAAGTCATAGCCACTATAATCAAACAAGGTTACGTGGCAGCGTGAACAAAGATACATTCAATGTCGCCAACCTGTGACCATCGCTTCCTGTGTCTCATCTTGTTTTTGTCTTTCATGTGAACCACCATACGTGTGTGTCCAGGCATGATCCAAGTCAGACGACCACCGTAAGGTGTCGCTGTTTTCTCAGGGGGTTGAATGGAGATTGGACCTTTTACAACAGACCTGATGAAAATAAGATTTTAAATAGTGCAAAATAATTTTAAATAATTTACTTATGCATGGATTATGATTCTTGTATTTTAGTACAAATTTCGGAGATGATAAAATCAGTTTTTACCTTGCAGCATCTTCCATGCAGTCTATAAGCTGACGGACAAACATATTTGGGACCCATTTATCAACTGTATCATCCAATTCAAATGCATCATCAAAAATGATGTGTACTAAAAGAGAAAGTCAAGAAATGTGAAGCAATATTATAACGACCTTGAGCGTTTTAAATTTTTATCTAAAATCTCAGTCACGTGAATTACTTACATTCTAAGTCATAAAAGTCTGGGTCATGAATTCGGAATTTTTCCTGTGCGAGTTTACTTGCACAGTGAACGTAATCCAATCTGTAAGGCAAATAAAAGTTTGAATGAAATATGTGGAGATAACAAACAGCTCTAAGTAGTAGGTAACTAAGTTAAGTTAGTAAGTAAGTTGAGTGTGAACCTGTTCTTACATCTTTATTCAACGTTTGGTTAAATATGTAAATATGAAAAAGAGAACCATTCTCACCTGAAAAGTGATTTCAGCAGTTGTGTCATCTCTTGTCGAGTTTCGTGCCACATGGTAGCGCATGCATAGACTTGAGGAGTAACGTTTGATGAACTGTAAACGTCGTCAGTGTAGTATACGTCCTCGCCAACGTAGCGGAAAGTGTCGAAACCGGTCAGCTTCACTTCCTTATCGTTTCGTCGACGTCGAAGAGTAAGGGTGAAATCTGGGAAGATGCCTTCGAAATGTGGAGTTACAAAAAGTCTGGAAGAGAAAAGGGCATCCATGATACAAAGAATGAACCCACAATTGTGAACATTCAATAAACACTATTTAAGAAAGTGCATATACTAAGTAACATTATTTCATTTTAAAATAGTAAATCATACTTTTCTATTTTAGCCATTCTTTCACTTTGTGGAAACCAGATATGTGAAACTGTGATGCAGTAAGACAGCAAAACCAGAATTGCACAAATGATTGGAATCATCAGTGCGTATATATCCATGGATTTAGGACACATCCATCCTCCTGTGTGCCAGTAGATCGGTAGGAAATCAAACTCGCATTGAAAGAATATGAGTATCAAAGAAATGGGTGGTCCCATTACCAATGGTAAGGAAAATGCCGTCCTCTGCATGTGCAGCTTGCATGCTAGACCAGCTAGATAAGTACAAATGATCCCAGCTCCCATCTGTATAAAGAGCAAGCTGTAGGAAACGCCGATTTCTTCAGCCTTGGATGAGTATTTGCTGGTAGTTGCATTAAACTCATCGGTGCCAAGGATTACAAAATTTGTATTATTGGTAATTAGGCGTGCCATTAGGATAGCCAGACCAATTTTGAACGGTGCGATCAGAAAGTATGATGTTTCTCTAACGTCTTGTAGAATTGATCGCCAGTGTTTGAATGGTATCGTTATTCTTCCAAACACTGTCCATTCTCCAGAAACGTAGTTTTCCCACCAACCAATTGATATCAAGATAAGAGACAACGGTAACTCCCAGTCACAGGACTGGTTAATAGTCACAGATGTTTTCAAGGTAGTAGTCTCGTTGTAGGCCTCATTAATGGAGTAGTTTCCTTGCATGATAAAATTACCAACGGAGAAGAAAGGTATCGCAGAGACCTGGACCAAAAAGGCTGCTACATTCATAATAATAGCTACAATTTCGCTCACACTGAGATTTGGCCGTCTCTCATGTACAATAACTTTTAAGAGACTTGGTATTTGACAAACTGCAAACGTTACAATTAACCCCCTGAAGAAATCGGTGGATGGTAAGACTCTAAAAAGCAGAAGACACAGTCCAAATGTCTGTAGTCCTTCAATCACCAAAAGCTGAAAGATAAGCATGAAATCAGAGAAGTGTTGTTTAGTCAAAATGTTTTCATTTTTTTTTTGTGATTCATTATATTTAAACAGCTTTGTCCTTATTACAGGAAAATACTTACGACAAAAAACGTTTGCATGGATGGCCATTCTTTTCCACCAAACAAAATTTTCATGAAAGCCATGAACCAATTGAACACCATAGGACCACAGAGACAGATGAGCAGGGAGAATAGATGGTGTCCTCTTGTTTTTTCATCCTAAAAACATTAATAAAAATGATGAAAAAAACATCAATTAAATACGGTTCTTCAATTCAAGAGACATTTACACTTATGATTTCGCCCAGTGTACCTTATTTATCCCTGATGTCATCAGCAGGAGAGATAACTTGCTAGCGACTATACAAGCAATGATGATGATGACGAAGAAAACATACAGGATTAATCGGATGCCTTTCAGAATCTCCTTGAAGAAGTGATCGTCGTCTTCAAACTCTCTTTCGGACACTTGGAAAATGTCGTATGGTCGCCTTAAATATAAAATTGCACCAAGATTAAATCGTTCTTGGTCAAAAACCTTAAAGTATGAAATTCCTTTTATACTTTGAATTCTCTGCAACTTTTTTATACTTTGAATTCTCTGCAATTTTGCTTGCTATCTTATTTAATTATTTAACAATACTTACCACTGCTCTGGTTCCTCTTTGTCTTCTTCAATCACTGTCGTCTGATCTGAACTTCGGGAATCGTCACAGAAATGATTCGCTCCTACTTTCTTTGGATGCATGCTAACACTGTCATCAATATCGATAGTATCCGCCACGCTGGGACTATGACCTGAGTAGTCGGTATGAAAGTCACGTGATAAATACTCGTCTGTACTGTCTATTTCAGATATTGCTTCTCTATACATGGATCCATCAAAATCTAAGCCGCTATCACGTGACCCCCTAACAGGCATAGCATTTGGAGTGGAATTCTGAAGCATGCCTGTATCAAACATTTTTGAGTTTTGTTTTTGTAATTTGGTTCCGGGCTCTTTACTTGACACTTTACGAACTTTGGACTCTGTTTCTGATTTTTTCAACCTCGCTTCCTCTTCGAGTCGTCTGCGTTTGTCCTCTAATTCTCGTTCTTGTCTTTGTTTCTCTTCCAATTCTAATTTCTTCCTTCTAGCCTCTGCCTCTATTTGTCTTTGTCTCTCTTTTTCCTCAATCTGAAAAAAATCCAAAACGGTTGAAATTGGCATATAACCCCCCCCCCCCCAAAAAAAAATCCTTAACTAAATAAAAGACATGCGATGACTAAATAAAAAATAACTCTTTACTTACAAAATTCCTTAATTTTGTTTCTAGTCGATCTTGTTGCCAGTACTTTAGGAAAATCTAAAAACAAACAGAATGAAGATTGAAACATTTTTTTTCCTAGGTTGAGATATGAACTTTGTTATAAGTTGTGTTTATTGTACAAGAATGTTGTAATTCATGATGAATTGTGTGACGCGATCAAGCATGCCAAGTTCTTAATGAGGAACGTAAGCTCCTGTTGCGTCGCTAGATATTGCATGTGTTGTGGGCAGACCGAGCTACGTAATTGTAGGTATTTATACCTGATGAATTTTAATTGTGACGTAAAAAGAAAAGTTGACCAACAAAAATTAGGATGTCTCATTTCTCTGCTGTGAAGAATGAAAACAAAATATTTATTGACAAGCCTTTATTCCGTTATTGCTGTATAGGTGAAACGTACGAAATATGTCTTGCAAATCCGAGCAATCGAAACATTTTTCTCCGGCAGAGCAATAAATTTTAGAAGCATACGCTGGTAAAATTTATTCCATACATGATAAAGTATCGTGCACAATAATTTTATTTTCGTGAATCATTTCTCAAAGGGCCTTTTACTTACACAGAGTTTAAAATTTATCATTTTCTTCATTAAGTGGCTTTTAATTTATCCCATTAAAATGATATGACATTTGGCGCGACCCAAGTACTTTTAATGAACAAAATGACAACAGAGAGTCCCTACTGATTTTAGGTTCCTCTATGAATAATGTAAAACACATAAAATATGTTCGTAGAAATCCTAATTTATTGAAAATTTATAGCATGTTAATGTTGGGTGAAATGAACAATGATACAACCGTATCGGTTTACATCTTTACAAGCTTTTGGATAAAGCAATTGTCAACACAGTTGCACTTTTAACATCGAGAGAGAGAGAGAGAAATCTACATACTGTAAACGTACTTAATTTAGCGGTGATCATATTTTAGCGCTTTTCGCTTTTCTTGTCCGCTTATTCAAGCACACGTTAATATATGTTTAAAACAAATATACCTTAAGAAATTTTTAACATGTACCAATTTAATATAACCCTGTTCATTGATGAGGAAGATGGCGCTAAATTTTTTGAGCGCATTAATTTATGGACTTTTAATTATTGCAAAGGAAGACACGAGGTTTTAAAGGAACATCAGATGTGTGTGTGTTAAGTGGTATTATTATTCAGTTTACATTATTTGACAGCTCTTATTTTGCTATTTATCCTCAATTAAATAAAAGCTAACCTTGGACCTGCCTAGTCCAAACCCTTCGATATCAGCTCCTTTTAGAATGCCCAGCGAGATGGACACATCATCGGTGGTGTTTTGGATTGGTGGACACAGTTCTGCATATCTGCAAAAGAACTGGCAAATCAACCAGAACCCAACATTGAAGACTCTAATCAAATACTGGTTTAAAGATACTTGATTACTACTGTGTTTTGCAAACAATACATTATTTCAATTTGCTTAGTACAGACTTCTAATGCTCAGATGTCTTAGTTTAAGACTTCGTAAAAGAAAACATCTATCTTTGAACTGAAATTATTTAATGTAATTGAACAAGTAGTTCAGAGGGGAATAAAAGTGGATAATTAAAATGCATTTTTAAAAATAGATTCATCATTTTAAATATACTGAGCGTCTTTCAGGTGTTATTGGATTACTACTTAATTAATCAAATTCGCTGTCACCAATGAACCATCTCTTGCACCTGATACACCTTTACAAGGTGTGGAATTTACCTTTTGACAAAATCTTCGTATCTAACTCTCACTGGATACCCTTCCCTCCTCAGCTCAGCTATTTCCATCAAACCATTGCATAGCAACTGTCGTCTAGTCAACTCCGTATCAAATTTTCCAGAAATGTGATTATGGTTGGGTTTTATACACCTGAATAAATCCGAAATACATGAAGTTTTAATTTCTCATTGTCAAATACTAACTGCAAGATTTTTATGATTCAAGAATTTAAGAAGTGTCACTCTCACAACACGATAATAATTATTTTGTCCAAATGCTATAGAAGCCATGCATGATAAGAGCGTCCATATATCATTGCTCTAAATTAAAAGTTCATCATTTGACACCACTTTGGTTCGCGCTGCACACCTTTATTTAAATTTATCCCCAAAGTGAATTATCGATCAGCTGAATAGTTTTGAAGAACATCTTGTCCCAAGGGGATATAACAGACGAAATAAACACAATTCTGTCTTCTTGGTTTTGCAATCAGTCATGAGTGTTATACACCGTTACTCCTCGGTGGCGTTCAGTTACCTATACACCGAGATGTGCCACTTTCTATTGTTAGTCATCTTATGATGGTGGTCACCGGTTCCTTATAAGTATTTCTTTATCTATTTCCGGCCACATTACTTCTACATTTATTTGATTAGTTGTGTTGTCATTTACTTGCACATCCCAAGTTTGGTCATTAATTAACTGTCGATTCTTGCATTAAAATGCCCCAAAATGTTATTTAAAAAAAAATAAATTACGAATTCATTGGATATTTCTTTTGTATCTTGCCTTTCAAATTTGATACTCTTTATTTGATAAAATTATGAGTTAATTGAAATAAATGACAAATAAATTTTAAAACATGACTTTTAAATTATGAACATAGGAGTAATTTTCATTAACACTATCATTGTCGTAAAAAAACTATCGTTTCAGTTTGCTTGATTAATTACCAATGTTTAAAACAAAACATTTCAATTGCCATACCAGAGACATACCGGGATATAATTATTTTATTAGTCCCCTACCGGTGAAATCGGAGGGGACTATAGGTTTCCTCTGAGTTTGTCCGTCCGTCTGTCCGTCCGTCTGTCTGTCTGTCCGTCTGTCTGTCTGTCCCTCTGTCTGTCTGTCAGTCTGTCCCACTTGGTTTTCCGCACTTTTTTCCTAAACGCTTGGAGATATTGAGCTGATTTTTGGTATGTGAGTGTATCTTGATGAGTTACAGATCAAGTTTGCATTTCGTTCCGCTTCATTGAATTTTGACGGAATTACGGCCTTTTCAATTTTTAGGGGTTTTCCGCAATTTTCTTCTTAACGCTTTCAGATATTGAGCTGATTTTTGGTATGTGACTTAACTTTGATTAGTTATAGATCAAGTTTGCATTTTGTCCCGCTTCATTGATTTTTGACGGAATTATGGCATTTTCAATTCTTAACGGGAACCAGATTACACTTGCCGGTAGGGGACTATATTGCTAATGCAATACTCTCAGAATGCTTGTTCATAATGAGACAATGGGCAAAACAGAAAAGATATGTACAAAATTGTTGAGCAGGGGGTTCTCAGAATGAAAAGTGAAAAATTGGAAACAAGACGTTTTTTGACACTCATGTATGTCAGCAATGTGATATTGAACAACCATTTACCATAGAAATACGATAATTTTTTTTACATGAGTTATGGATTTCCCACAGGCATAGTTGGAAAAATAAAAAAAAACTATAAAAGTGAAAAAAAGCACTAGCAATACTTTTGTTTCTAAAAACAACATTTATAAATGGAATTTTACTTCCCATCACTGATGTTTTGGAGGTCCGTGTTTGCTCTTCTCCTATCTTGTATTGTTTTATGGACTTTTGAGCTTGAATACTGTTCGTAATCTCCATATGTTTCATTCCAAGAAATAATTAAGCTTTTTCATAAGATTCATTATGAGTTGTTGTCTTATTAAGAACAAAAAGTCAAGAAAAAGGAGTTATATTTCAAAAATTTCCTAACAGTGAGTAAGGATATCTTTTTCATATTGTTAAATGTATTTTTTACACTTTCTTGAGAATAGGATCGCCCACACACTTCAATTGATAGGTGGAAACATTGAATATTGAGGTAGAGGAAAGGAGAAAACATCCTTTTTTTGTAAATCTGACTAGAGAGAAAATAAATAGATGCCTATAAAACTATTGACAGTTATGTAAGTGCTCCAGCTTACCTGACGAATAACGGCTCAGCCTGTGACAACTTGGTCATCAAGTCAGACAGTGACCTCTGTAATAAAAATAACACACAGTTTAATTATAACCATATCTAATTAATTAAGCCAATCTGAGGTCTCGCTATTTCCCTCTTTTGATATTAATTTCAAGGTATAATTCAGTGAATTGACATATTAGCACACGACCTTTTTAAGACAGAAGAAGTATTTGTACAAAAAAAAAGAAAGATCACTGACACATTTATTCAAAAACTTCATATTTTAGAAAAATAATTTACCAAATTTTTGTTATGTTTTAGCGTTTTGCAATATTTCAAAATAAAGGGGTTATAGGTTCGTTTTCTAAGGCTAAACCAAAATGTGTACAGAGAAAAGGAGAGTGACTCAGATAAATGTACACAAGAAAAAACAGGGATATAAACGCTGTCTGATACAGCAAAGCATGATAGATAAAAGTACAAAAGATGAAAACTAGGAGTATAAACTTTGTCTGCATGATACATGTAGATAAAGTTGTATTTATTGCATTATTTTGAAAATGGTTGACCTCACCTATAAATGGTTTGATAAAAGGTAAATTCGCATCTTAATATATTTCTATTGTCACTGGAATTCTGTGGTAAACTTGAAAAAATTGCTTACGTAAAAACACGAAACTTCAGTGAAGACGATTTATAATTCATACATTATATTAAGCCTATCATAAATAAATTAATGGTCCATTCCTTAATTGGAAACGCCCTATTTCTGTGTTCACTTAGTTTTTACAAATTGTTTTAACTTTGCCAAAACGTGTGTTGAAAGTTAAACGATAAAAATAAAAAATAAGCAAAACATAAACTATATAAAAGGAAGAAACTGATATCTGGATTCAAATATTTTGATTATTATTTAAAAAAAAATATCTTAAAATAATGGAATTTGATAAGTACATGTAAGTTAGATTAAATTTTGCTATACATGTATATACCTATATCAGTCAAAGTTAGCGCAAATAACCTAAAAGAGTTGAATGCTTTTTTGACAAAAAGAAATGGAAATAGTTTGAAAACATGAGAAAATTCTTGTACAGATCTACAAATAAGTCAGTCTCAGACAGGTAAAACACCTGGACTCACCTTGAAGTGCTTGGTAACCGTGGGGGAGGCACGTCCTAGGGAGGAATATTTACTGCTATCACCCGATAGGTCCCTGAGAGAGTAAATTTTGATTAATAATTAAAAACAAATATCCCCATCACTTTCTAGTTCGGATAACCACTTATAGCATACATATATAATTACCTGCTTTTTTTGATTCGATTGGAAACCTTTCGTGAGAGAGATCTTCTAAGGCGCTCTGGGTCAATCTGTGAGGGCCAAACCGCCGGAAGTCGAGGTCGCGATACACACTTGCTTGCAAAACTACAATAAATAAATAAATTAACAGTCCATGAACAGAAAAATTCTTGTACTCTCGTGATGTTGTTACTTTTAATTCAGATCTTTTCTGAAATAACTGCTTTCCGCCCATAGCAGGAAATGTCATTCTGGTATCTAGACTACTCTTTCGTCTTCACCTATAGTAATCACATCTTCAAATTATAAATTATATGTAATTGAATTCAATTCCTTCAGACAAATGTGAAATGACAGAATATGCGGAAGATTAGAGACAAGTCAGGAATTTGACAGCAACTGAAGGGTCAACTAAAGGACCAATAAAAAGGGATGTCTACTTTGAGCTGGGCTATAGATCTGAGGTGTTTATGAATATAAGAAAGGAGATAATAAGAGCACTATTGGATACGGACACATTTATGACACATTATATCCAGAGATTCTGGATGAACGTGTCTACGAAAACAAATAAAACTCACGCCGTATGAAACCACACATGCGATAGTAAAGAGCAATAACAGAGAACATGGGTGAAATATTTGTAAACAGCAAAGCCGAAAACGCATATCTATGTCTAAATCAGCTGTTTTAAGGTTTATGAATATTATGTCCTAATTCTTACAAAAGAAAGAAAATATACATTTGACCATCCAGATACATTCCTAATAAGTTTTTCGTCGCTTTAGTAAAATTATATTTAAAAACTATCATGAAAATACTCACAAGAAGACAAGTGGCCAGTGCGACGACGCTTAGCCGGAACGGTCCCAATGAAAAGACCTATGCACGTACTAAAATGACTACTTAAGGTGATGGTAACAAAAAAGATCAACTTATGGCAGTCGTAAACGTGACAGAGCGTCCGTCAAACGTAATACACAATGTCCGATGTTTGGACCTTACCATCGATATCAGATGATTGTATGTCATGTTCTGATCTATAAAACCACATTAAATCATTATATAGGACTGACAATTCTATCACAAAGTATATAAAAACATTTATCTGCCTTCAAAGTTTCGGGTTAATCAAATGCAAAAGGTCTGTGCACGAGCCTTTTTATCATGTAAAGCATGCATTAAGCGTGCAATTTATAAACATTAGTTTTGGGGTTAAAGAAGCTGTTTTATAATTTTTTGATTTCAATCTTTCCAAATTAGAAACAATTGTGTATTCATCACAAACGTTAAAAACACCTCTGGGCAAACTTTAGAAAATGAAATACACAGCGTAGTTGTGAAATATTTTAAAGACTTTCCCCTTGTTCCAAAAAAGAAAAATCAGTTTGTTTGTGTCAAACACTGACAATTTGAAAAATAAATGGTATCTAGAAAACTGGTTACGTGACAGTGAGAAATTACCCCCCATTCAATTGTGGCGTTCTGGGTTATACCGTTGTTGTTTTGTTACATACACTGTAATTTTTTTTTAATTCAAAACAAATGAAGTTTATACAGTCTTATAGATTTTTAATACGTTTGGAAGTTTATACAGTCTTACAGAATTTTAATACGTTTGCAACTGTTGTGTTTCTTCATTAAAAATAATTAAGGGATAGAAAAAGAAAATAATATTGAACATTGAACGCGATGGTCCTGACGAAAAAGCAAACCGGATAACGCAGCACAATTACCAAAAATCTGATAGCAGTATCTTAAAACATATGATTAAAGGGGTGTTAGGACCCAGTCTTAACGTGGTACAGGAATATCATAATAACTGAGTATTAGAATTCCTAAGGAAGATGAAAATATAACGTAATTCTAGTGGCGAAGAGTCCTGTTTACCCTACACATAAACCTAGATGACCAATAATGCAAATGCCTCAAAATATTTTAATATATTCACTTTTAAATGCTAATAATTCAAATCCAAGCAGAACCTCCAGGTTTTTGGTCATAAAAGGCTTGAAATATTCATAGGTTATGAAGGAAAAGGTTTTATTGGAGGTCTTTTAATACAATAAATACATACCAACACTGCTTTAATCAAAGCAAATTACGTTAAACGAAGTAACATCTTTTTTTGGATAAATAAATATTCAACCAGAATGACTACATTTTATTACCGGTAGATGTTTACTTCTTTGTAACACCATTCTAAATATTCTTGAAATGGGCTACTTCTGTTTTCTATTGAGTTAACGAACAGTAATCAATCTCAAAAGCCTATTGAGCCAATACATTTCTTTAAAACTTATGAGGAGAAATGTTATACATTTATTGACAAGGTTCGAGGACAACATGCGTTTTGTCGGACCCAAGAACTAAACTGCTTGTCTGAGGCCGTTAGTCAACAAATGTTTAGCTATACCTTTTACTTTTTTGACACATCATTTGCTGCTTCCACGATTTGAATTTCGTTTACCCGCACTGCGATTTACACTCGGTCAATTCCGTAACTAACGAACACCAACGCATGCAAATAAGATAGCTGATTCCTTAATGATGACGTAGGCGGTTCAATATCTCATCGACAGGTCCAATACTAGTATCTCGCCCTGCGGACTAACATCGATTACTTTTGGACAGCTCAGTAAAATTATGGAAATGTCTGATTTTTTTTTATTATTATAAATTTATATAAGAAACAATTTTTAAAGGTATAACAAAAACATGCAGTAATGAATTGGATTTTAAGATTTTACAATGATTGGCTACAATATGTGCAATTTTTCAACCATTGGTGGATTTAATATTCGTCATTTCGTAAGTTCTATGGTCGATGCAATAACCTTATCAGCAAATACAATTTAAGTCAAATGTTGACTGACGTTTTTCACACTAATTGTTAGGTCATTTTTACACACTGAATTGTCGACGGATTTTCCCGTCATTTCCCGATCATGACAAGGAGCACACGGCGGGTGTGACCGGTCGACAGGGGATGCTCACTCCTCCATGGCACCTGATCCCACCTTTGATGTTTTAGAGGTCCGTGTTTGCTCTGCTCCTATTTTGTATTGTTTAATGGACTTTTGAGCTTGAATACTGTTCGTTATCTCCATACATTTCATTTTATTACAAGATTTTTATAATTTTGTGTTTGAAATATTTATTTACGCTACTTGAAAGATAGAGGAGAGGTTTGCATATAATATAGTTACAAGTTTATCTTGTTTAAGAGATCGGGCAGGACATCTCTCTCTATCTTTGAAATAAATTTATGCATCCTTTTCCTAAAATGCTGAAGTATTTAATACATAAAACCCCTGCCTCTCTGACATTTCTTTTTCGCTTTAAAGAGACAAAAATATAAAGAGGCCTAAGGACCGCATTAGATTAACTGAAAGTGTCGAGTTGTGCTTTTAAGCCAAAGAAACGCCATTGCTCTTTTAATTTTTTTTTTGAAAAAAAATTCTAACATGACCTTACTTCATACCATTCCTATTAATAATAATTATCACACACATACCTTAGAATTAACTTGAAGGAGTACTCTTAACGGTTATCCCCCAAATATTAACCCCCTGCCATGTTAAATCTAACATTTGCAATATTTTAAAGACACGTTAATTAGTTTTTTCATGGGCGGATTTTTTATGCAAGACACCTTTATTAAGGAATACAAAATGGTTACTGTCTAAAGCAATGAAGGCAAAATTTGCTTGGGCATATCGAGTCGATTATATACCTGTCTTGCAGTGAACTAGAATCTTTTTAATAAATATATAATGTTGTATATATATATACTTAGTTCGAGATACATAAATCAAATTGAATAAAGGCTTGAATATGAAATATTGCTTAAAATTTAAGAACATAAAAACTAACCAAAATTTGATTAAATATAATTAATATATATGTAATATGAAATAGGGAGAAAAGGAACAGTATTCAAGCTCAAAGTCCATTTAAACAATACAAATCGGGAACAGAGCAAACAGGCATCAGAGTGGGATCAGGTGCCATGGAGGAGGAAGCATCCCCTGTCGACCGGTCACACCAGCCGTGTGCTCCTTGTCGTGATCGGGAAAAACGGAAAAATCCATAGACATTTCAGTGCTTAAATAATGATCTAACAATTAGATGAAAAACGTCAGTCAACATTTCACTTAATGATATGTGTAGGTTGTATTTGCTGACAAGGTCATTGGATCGACCATAGAACTTGCAAATTGATGAATTTAAAAGAGAATGTTGATATCCTTGCTTCATCACTTGTTTGTCAATAGTTTGCCTCGTTTTAGAAATTGTTCGTTTGTAGAACATGCTCTTGCGTATTGAATCAACTGAGAGACATAAACCCCAAATAAGGGTATATTGCTGCATAAGTATGGGAAGTTGACGATAGGAAAGTTGAAGTCATCACGTTTATCATAAAGCTTGGTTGTTAGATTACCATTAACGTCTTTTTCTAGTAAAATATCCAAATATGAAAAGGATGTGTTAGACTCTGTGATATCTTTTATTTCAAGCTCAATGGTATATATCGTATCGACATACGAATGGAAATAACCATTGTTAATTGACAATAAATCGTCGATATATCTAAATGGTTACCAATAACGTCTTTTTCTAGTAAAATATCAAAATATGAAACAGATGTGTCAGACTCTGTGAGGTCCTTTACTTCAAGTTCACTTGGATTTATCGAATCGACTTATAAATGGAAGTAATTATTGTTAAATGATAGTACGTCGTCGATATATCTAAATGTCGAGTTGAAGGCAACAGCAAGTGTTTTCTTCTTCTCATGTATAAGTTTTTGAATAAATTCTGCTTCATGTGAATACAAAAATAGGTCTGCTAGTAACGGGGCGCAATTTGTACCCATGGAAATTCCAACAGATTGTTGGAAGACCTGATCTCCAAAAACTACATAGATATTGTCAATCAGAAACTCAAGCATCTTTCTAATATCAACTTCAGAGTACTTGCATGTACAATCAGAATGGTTTTTAACAAAACACGGTGTATAAAAGAAAATTTGAAATATGTGAACGAAAATCAATATGTTTCACTTATGAAGCGAAAGTCCCTTTTTAAATTTGTAAATGTTTATTAATTAGTATTAAGAATCTTCTAAGGGTATAAAATTCTTGATTAAAATACCTCTAAAAATAGTCCTGGTTAAACTAAAGCTTGTGTTTGCTATCTTTATCAGTCAATTTAGTCGAAATAAGTCTCAAAAGTGAGAAAAATAACGACGGATGGTTCCCTTGTATACAGAATTTCTGATGATGTCAGGTAATCTTATATTCTTATTGTAAAGAGATTTCTTCTCCTTATACTTACTCTGATATGGTGCCAGTTTCAGATATGGAGGCCGTGAAGAGATCTTTAATAAAGTTATTGTTGCTATTCAGAAGACAGCCGACTAAGTCTTGGCTCAAACTATCTCTATTCCTCTCCAGAAATCCTTCCGCCTCATACGTCACCTGGATAACGAAATACAAAATAAGTCCGAAATTGTTACCAAAAGTGGACAGAAAGGAAATGAAAGCTTTCATTATTATCAAAATGGGTGTGATGTTGGAGAAGGTATGTAACTGATGAAATGTGAATGATGCCCAGAAGTCCTGTTAAACAATAAATTGAGAGCAGAGCAAAACAGATCCCTAAAAACATCAGAGGAGGTATAAGCTGATTAGGTGCCATGGAGGAATAAGCATCCCTTGACGACAAATCACACCCAACGTAAGCCCTTTGTATTGATAAGGTAATCGGAGTAGATTTTAAAGAAAAAAAGTGTATACATGCACAAAACATTTTCAAATCTACATATTAAATATTTAAAAATATGATAAATAGAACAATAGATACAAAAATCCATATCATATGATAATAATTTTAGTGTTTAATATTCTCTATTTATCAAATTCTAACTCCAGAATAGGTTAGCTCTCATAATATGTACAAATTTCGGCTTTTATAACAGGTATTTACATGAAAATCTAAAACAAAAAAATCTTAAGCGAATAATTTTACGAAGGAACTTTTACACTTATACAAATATTCATCAAGATTTGAAGATGACATATCTTTGATGTGTGTTTAAATAAAAATAATCAAATGTTTAATTAGAATAAAAACACGCCACTGAAAACATTAATATGACTGTAACAACTATGAATAATTCTATATACACGTTAAAGACGTGATTTATAGAGTTCAATTACCAATTCATTATAGAATTCAAACAATAAATTGATTCTACGTATAAGACAAGCTGGCATTTGGTTAATCAAATCTTCTTGATAGATGAGTTAAAAAAATCTTTGATCAGACAGTTTTAAAATCAATTTATGATTTGGATCGAGATCTTATTAAGATATTCACTTATGAGTTATGGGTGATTTTTGATTGATTTGATCGATACGAGAAACTTATGATTGGTCTGTCATTCAATATAGACCATTTTTGAGGATTTAGTCATTATGGTTGATTTCCGTCATTCATTTTCTCTCAAACCTGTAAGGATGTATGCTGATTTGTGAGAGATTTTAAAGCAAACATATGTTGGAATCTTATTCATTTTATTGTACGATTTGACCTATTTTCAAAGCAAAATAATTAAACAAGATATCAAAATATTATGCATATGACTTAATGTCGACATTTACAGATTTTATTTGAATTTCATTGTATTTGGTTATTGTTTAGTTTGTATTGCAATGAAATATAATAATTGATGAAAAAGAAAGAGTACACAAAAACGAAAAAAAGAAAAGGAAACAAAACAAACAAACAAACAAAAGAACACACACGTGATGCACATGTAGAGTAAGTCGTTTAAAATAAGAAGAAAGGATTGAATTAAACAAAAAATAATTTAAAAAAAAAATTAAAAAAAAAAAAAGAACATGTTTAAAAAAATGAAATGAATTAATTTGTGCTTGTTAAAGAATACCTTGCACATGATTACATAAGTCAGAATTCCAATTTCAAAAACACTTTGAAATATTAAAATTCGGCGATTGTATATAATTTACCTGCTCAGCATAGTGTCTGATTCCGAAAGCGACTCGGCTTCCCATAGCGGCTGCATATCTTGTACTCTCTTTGCAGTATTTGTTGAGTTTGTGAACCAAGGAGGAGTCGTTCGACTGTGGAAAATGGGATTCCTCATCCAGCAAAGACAGAACACCGTCAGGACGCTAGATGAAAACAATTTGAACGAGGTCGATTTTAAAAATCAGAACATGTTTAAAAAATCACTTCTGATAAGATACTATGCCATACCGGTATCATTAATGAAAAATTAAACCCTGTTAAATCTGATTTAAGGCAAATTCTTGTTAAGATAATTTAGCAGATTCGAGCAATTCCAGTCATAACTTACTTTGAACAAGAGATCCAAAACGTCATCATTACAATGGTAGACGATGTCCCTCCACTCTATGCCTTCAGCCTCGTACTCCTTTCTCTCGCGGGGGAATATGTAATCCATGAAATACTGTTGTAGTTTCTCATTGGAAATATTGATAAGGAATTGGTCGAAACCATTTTGCTTAAAATTCTCAAATCCAGATAGATCCAGCAATCCAATGGAAGATCCTCTTGTTAATCTGAAAATATTAATGGGTAAATAGTAATAACGATTGTATATGAGAATTTTATTATATTTTTCGCTTTAAAGTTTTTGTTTCGAATACTTACTGGCTTTTGCGGCGCTGATTTGGCCAGATGTTACGGTTGATTTGGCCGACAATCCATCCGAACAGCCTCGAGTAAAGATCTTTCGCTAAAGCATCTCGGCTAGCATTTGCCTCTCGTAAACTCTTCCATGATTGAATTTTCTCCCCTTCAGATAAAAGTTTTAAAAAAATGTTTTTAAAAAGGATCTTTCTTTTTCTCAAACAGGCGCAAAGGTGTTTTACTTTTTTTCCCTAATACATGTACATATAGATTTGGAGCTTAGGTTGTTTAAAATTCAATTAATTGATAACATTAATTTTCAAGAAGATCCCCCTATATGAACAACACTGTACAGATTTTATAAATGAATGTGTAAGATTTTATGAAGTTCATTAGAACAATGCATTTTACCAGTAAAAAATGCTTAGTTATCCTCATTTCTCTTTTTACACATAGATATCATTAAAGATTTATATAAACCAAGAGACTAAGACTCGAATCAGATCAGGATTACTTTCTGAACATGCTGAGGGCTTCAAGGTTTGAATTTCATGACTATACAAACACTTGTGCTCTAAATTCAATGGATTTATATAAAAGAAAAATTGCATAATTACACGACTCTTAAAGTGCAAAGAAATGCAGATGCACTAGTATATATAATCTAGTAACGAAGGCCCAATCAAAAAGTTAAAAGTTAAATATAGAAAAAAATGACATGTTAATTTCATATTATGATGGGCGGAAAAAAGTGAGCGGGTTAATTAATAAAATATTGGATGTATTTAGATTAAGACAGTTGATTATTAAAGTTTATATTCTGAGCATTAAATGTCCACTTGTTTGGAGCCCTAATAAGGCAGAATCTGTCAACTGTGAACAATAAAACCTAGAACACTGCGTATTTTAACCGCACAATCAAACAAGGAAACGTCACAGATTTTTAAATACACGTGACAACGCATAGGTGAAAGTATGAAATAAAATATAATGAAAGAATTGTCAAATTTCTAACTGATGACAGACTTTCGTGAATTCAAATAAGATGTATATGAAAGATAAAGTATACAAGCTATTCCAAAAATGGAACATTTATTATATTGTCATCTAAGTTTTTTTTTTTTAAGAAACCGTGATCTTATTATTGTTAGTCCAAATATGTTTACATTGTAATACGTTGTTTCGTTTATTAGCCTGCTTAATTAAGATATGAATTCAAAAAAAATGACTGATTCTGTACTTATATTTACCAAACCATTTTTAGTTGATGATACCTGGTATGAGTGAAATAACATTAACAAAAACATGGGAGGAAGAAAAATGTTGGGGTTTTTTTTTACGTTTGATGTACAATGTGTACCTTTGATAGTGCTGACATTAGAAATTAATGCTTCTGTGAGTTCCACTTCGTCATCTATCCCTAGTAACTTAGCAACAGCGTGAAGAGGATATTCATCCGCCACGGAGACACCATCAGTTTCTTCTATTGGCATAAACACAATATTGGCAAGGTGTAATATAGCGGCCAGAATTAGAAAAATCACTTGAATATGCTAAAAAAAAAAAGAATATTAAAACGTAAGATGATCAAAAACCAATTTCAGCGATTAACTCTTCTTTCGTTTAAAGATCCATTTTAATAATTTTTTTACTCCGTTGTGAATACGAGTATGAACATCGAAATATTCAGTGGAATTCTCAAAAGGGGACCAACCTCCTCACTGAAACCAGTCTGTGACATCACAGTAGTCAGGGATGAAAACATTGCTTTGTAATGCTCCCATTCCTCGGCATCAAGGAATACCCCATTTTGGATATCTTCGTCGCGCATGATTCTGAAGCATAAATGGAGTCTTACTACATTGTTATACTATAAAATAGGATGTTTTGTATCTTTTTGCACTGTTTGATGAATTACTGTAGTATTTAAGCGGAATCACCTATGACAATCCGGGTCTTCAAGAAAGTAGTACAGGAGTCGCTCACGTGACATACCCGCGAACAAAGCGTAAAACACATGGAAATTTTTCTCACCGGAGGAGCGATGGACTACACGTGACTTTTCAAGAATGTAATCATCTATTTTGGCTGAAATGTTGAAAATAATTTATTTTTTATATAATACCTATTTCCTTTTAAAATTCATTTCAGATTATACACAAGAGTGCAGAATGAAGTACCTCCTAAAAGGCGGCCATTTTCTGTGTAGTGTAACTCGACAAACTTTCCAAAACGACTTGAATTGGCGTTCATTATCGTGGAGGCATTTCCAAAAGCTTCTAACAGGGGATTTATCTGAAAATGTAAGTAAAAGTGTTTATCTTTAGCCAGTCTTACAAATTATCATTGATAGTTGTTCTTACAAAATGTAAAATTTGCATTCTTTGCTCGTCGCTCTTTAGTCATAATATACTAAAAGAAGTACAACCATTTCATGACCCTCTCCCTCCCCTCCCGTTTCTGACTTTTCAGAAACCAAAGAAATAAATCATGGAACAAAATCATTAACTGAGGGTTAATTTTAGTCTTAATAAGTTGCTTAGCCGACGACAACTTTCAGTCTAATTATGGCAACACAGGTATATTTTTACTCTATTACATTTTGGTCGTAAATTACAATACTGTGTTGTTCATTTCGCTATTTGTGTCAAACATTATGTTTTTCTGGTAAATATCAGTGCTTACAATACTTATCTGTCCTTGTTTTCTGTATACAAACCATAATGGGGAGATAAAGTGAACAATCATTTTTTTTACCACGGTTCGCTTTTTTGCTTCATTTTTGTTTGTTTGTTTGTCTGTTTTTATTGTTGTTGATGTGGCAAGAAATTTACATTCATAATAGTAGATATTTAATCATTAATTTTCACAGAGGGAAATCTCATCCAGGATTGAATCTCGATCAATCATCTTTATTAATAAATCCTTATGACTGATGCATTGGTTACAAAACTTTGACAGAATGGGTGATAGATTATCAAGCATACCAATAGATTTAAGAAACACCTGTACAAACTACCTACTTGTATTCATTAATGTGTTTATTTTAGCTTACCTGTACTATTTTGTCGAGCAATTGCTGGTCATCGCTCGGACTGATTCTCATTAAGTGGCGGATCATATATTTTGTACTTTCGGTCTTTCCGGCCCCGGATTCGCCACTAACAAGAATACATTGGTTCCTTCCGGTAGTACAGAGAGCTCTGTAGGCGTGGTCTGCGCTCCAGAACAGGTGCGGCGGGCGCTGTGTCCTGGACACCAAGTCAGTGTATTCCTCATGATGCTGTACAAAGAGTATTATATATAATATATATATATATATATATATATATATATATATATATATATATATATATATATATATATATATATCTGTGTGTGTGTGTATGTGTTTGTGTGAATGAAATCATTGCATTCTGATAATCAAGAAAGTTTGTTGGGCTCGAATGAAATCTCAGTTTGAAAGATGTAAGACTTAGAGGCAAAAGGAATTGTTTTCTTCAGTTTCGGAAATCATAGAAAAAAATAACAAAAGCACGTCCTGCAAATAATAGAAAATTGGTAAGTGTTCAGATAGTTTGACCAGAGTAAACATCTCGTAGAGCGTGCCAAAGTAAATTTAGAACATTACGGATCATGTCATTAATGTCGAAAGTCAAAATGAAAACAAAATATATGTACCCGTCCATATTAAGGTAAATGAGAAACTAAAAAGCGGCAGAATTTATCCGAATAATGCTTTTTGGTTTTTGTGAAATTGCAAAGGACTTTTTCTGCAAAATCAAGATAACCGACAACACGAATCTTTGATTATTGTGTTATGAACTTGGGTGTTGTTAAAACTGTTATTTTTGATTGATTTAATTCGTATTGTTCGAAAGGTTTCCTTTGCACGAAATAATGACAAACTTTAATCAAAAAGAGGATGTGGAGCGATTGGTTGGAATCCAAACCGTGGATGGAGGAAGGCGAAGTGTGCATGTAAAACTGGATATGATTGGACTCTACACCCAAACGCCCCCATAGAGATCTTGACATAATCAGTTTATAAAGAGCTCGTACAACATTTTACAGTTGATAGCAGTAGAACATAGTTTGTCATCCATCATTTTAAAACATACATGTTATAAACTGGTTCAAACCGTCACCATTGCCTGATATTCTTGTACATTTCTTCGTTTTATGTATTTATTACCAACTATATTATGTCTGTTTTCTTTAGTCGCTGTAAATAGACCCTTTATGACATGGTACGTGCTTGGAATTTCAGTCCTTTCACACAATAATCTTTTCCTGAACATTTTCTTTCCATTCGCCAGTATTAACAGAATGTGCCATAGACCGCCATAAATCATTCAACTTCAGTCTTACCTTCTCCTCAAACAGGCTGAGGGGTTTGCATGGATTGACCGCTACAAGGATGTCACCAATGTATGTCTGAAAACAGTTCAAGATTTACATGATGGAACTGTGACTGCAGGGAGGAATGGAGAGAAACCCCGACCTCTCTGTCCGTATACATACAAAGCAATATGTACATAGTCATAAAAATATATATTGAAAAATTGTTTGAAGTTCTCCTTGGCTACGTTATTCAAATTGGTACATAAAAATAAACAATGACAAATTTTTAGTGAAGTTGACAAGTTAATGTTTTTAAAATCTTAAACTATATAAGTACAAAATTTGTTTTGTTTTAATTGTTTTGTTTGTTTTTTATTTTGATTTTATTTATTTATTTATTATTTTATTTATTTATTTATTTGTAATCAGCTGCAGGCAATTGGAGGTGATTCCACCCGAGGTATCCGGCAATTATAACCGCTTATAACGTGAGAGAGTAATTTGCTATTCTTTAAAATTTGTTTATATCATTTAACGTGTTTAATATACCACAGAATTTTTCAGAATATTACTTTGTGGCATACATGTTACATGGTGTGCAAAGTTTTGTTACCGTCCTCGAAGACGGTATAGAGAGTTGAAGTATTTTACAGTCTTCGGACTGTGCACTTTCTCGTTTCTGTGATTGGGAGAAAATGCATGATGTGAAAATTTTCAATTATTTAATTGGTTGAAATGCTGTTCAAGGCAAGGGAGATAGTTCTAATTTTCGTACGAATTAACAATTTTTCAAAATTTTCAATCTTTAAAAAAAATCGACAAAACGAACAATTGAGAAATATGTATATTATTACGTTTTTCTATATTTTCTGGAGTAAGAAACATTGAAATTTTTGTTTTGTTTTCTTTTCTTTTTTCCTTCGTGTGTATAGTAGGGCTAATGTCTCAGTGTAAAAAGTTGTTGAAGATGTACAGAGCCAAGAACTACAGTACTCAACAATAATACGAACTGATAGATCCAAACAGAAATTCTTCCCAACCATGCGCAGAAATTTTTCCGTAAATTGCACTATACATGTATTTGCATTTCGGGATTTGTAGCTTTATGGTCAAAGACTAATATATAAATCCACATAACGCTACAGTTTCTGCAGCTAGTAGATAGGCATATGTCAGTTTACTGTTTAAAGTGGTTGCTAAAGACAGCAAAGCTTTTTGAAAAGGCTATACTTGCTAGCTGTTATTGCTGTTTAAATGTGAAAAAAAGTCACTTCCTGGGACAAAGTAATCTATTGGGTGCGTTTATATTTGTGGAAAACTTAATTTTTGTATGAGCTTTTCGAATGTTGTACATTTCATGGTTTTGTCTTAAATAAAACATGGAAAAAGGGTTATGATAAGAGAGAACTAATATTTAACAATACGTACATTAAAGATTTATTTAATTACTTATTTTTTTTAAGATTATAATTATTATTATTTTTTGGTATTTACAGAAATAAATAAATAAATCTATAAAATGATAAAAATGGGAAAAAATTATATTAGTTTTTAACTCTATGACCAATTATTAAATGACAAACTGTCTCATTACCCTTTTTTAAATTTCATTCTATCATGAATACCAACTACGCCGTAAATGATAATTGTCCGCGCTTTCTGATTATGCAAATCGGTCCTCAATCCAGTCATGAATTCCACGGTACTTCCTTTAATTTCAAATACAATAGCCCCTTGCACGATAAGTTCAGTGACAGCAAAGAAAAATAATAAACAATTAATTTATGGAGGAATGCTTCTAGCTTTTCGGGACTGTTTTGTCATTAATTATTGAAATTATATGATTTATGATGCATTCTTCCTAGATCACGACATAAAAAGAATATTACGTGTAAAATCGTTGTTATCATAATCACCCACTTAGCAATATTTTACAGAAAAAAAAACAATTATCAAGAGTTGGAGTAATTTTCCATTTTCGTGCTTCTTTCAAGGTTTGCTCAAAGATTTGTCAACTCTTGCACTTACTGTATTTCTAAATAAGGATAAACATTTGTAAATAATTTCTTCCTTTTCGCTTAATTTATATATTTCTAAGAAATTAGATTCTTTGTTATAAAACTTTTTTGAGAAATTACAACACCAATTTATACTTATATATTTCACATTTGGATTTTGTTTTGGAAAGCGTAGGGGTGTTGCACTAAGTAATCTAGCTGAACGAAAAAAAAATTCTTTAACAAATATAAAGTCCAGTATGTCCCCATTTTTACGAGATATGTATTGTCATAGATATATTTGTATGACGTCGGCAGCATTTGTTCTTGTATGGCCTAGGGGTCGTTATCATTAGAAGGTCATTAACAGGTGTAAAAATTGTGCAGAGATCCAAGTATTGGTCATAATTGACATGTATTTGTACAGACTGTTGTTCGGAGGTGTATACAGATTTGTTCAGTAGAGAATGAACACATTTTATAAGGTATTCTCCAGACATAAAACCACAACTTTTTCATCCAAGTGGGCTAATTATAAATATTTCTATAAAAAAATCCATTTTTTAACGTAAAACATTGTTTTCTTTATTTTTATTTTATTTTATAAAATTGACACAACACTTTTGATTAGAAAATCTGAACATTTTTATCTTTACAAAAATCCTTTAAATAGTTATGTTTTATTTCCATTTTCTTTTAAATACATATTGCCCTGATTTCTTTTATTAACAATCCCAGAAAATAATTGAGAAGCAGACAAGAGAAATAACTTACATAAAACTTGTCTCTGTTATATCTGGTACGGAGAGCCTGAACGATCGTGTTCTCATCCAAAACTTCTAAATCACTTAGGTCATCGGGGTTCATCGCCATAGTAACTAATCGAGGTCAAGGTTAAACTTTTGACTGAAAAAATGTTTAACAAATTTCCATTATAATAATTATGATAATGATGATAAAACAGACACAACTCAAGTATCGATAGTTACAATAATTCACGCACGAAAGGTATTTTCACATTCAATTTTAAAACACTGATTGAAGAAAATCAAATATCATAAAATTACCATCCTTAATTTTCTAGAATAAAACACACATTCCCTTTTTGTTTTAAAACTTCACGCGTGTACCTATAAATGTTTACAATTAGAACGGTGTCTACATAATAATCCTCTTTTACGTATTGTTTTAACGTGGTCAACTTGCGTAACAAGGAAAAAAAGTTCACAGAGTAGACCCTTTGTAAAGGTAAACTAAATATGACGAATTTTATGCAAAGCGTATAAATGTTGTTCACACAACTCCTCCGCTAAAATGTTAAAAGTTTGATTAATTATCATAAACCCTCATAGATTACACCTTAAAATTAAGGTTTTTCTTGTTTTTAGAATACAAACACACCTATCTCCTAACAAAATGTGTATGTGTGCATTTCTAGTTTATTGAAAGTATTTACAGTAAGAAAACATTTTTAATCCAAAAAATAAAAAAAAGAGGGAAACTGGACACCTACCTGATTACAAATTGTAATCACTTCGACCAAATTACAAAAAATGGTCTAATTTAAACTCTCCAAACAATTAGCACAACGATATCATAATATCACAATCAGTATTCCACATATCGTATAGAAGCCATGTTGAATCCCTGTCAGGGCACTGGTCTCCTAAATCCACCGCCACGAAGAGAGGACTGCTTGAAGGACCACGTGATTCTAAGTAGGAAACACAGAGAATATATTTTTTTATGGTAATGAACGTCACTTGTCAAAAGCGCCTCACTGGTACGATTTCTTAATTAACTGTCGAAAGGTATAGTTTCTTCGCGAAATAATATTACAGTGACATAAGGAGACATACGATAGGTCAAACTGTATTCCAAATCTTTAATAATTAACAACGATAATTAATAATAACGACTCTTCTCGAATTTACATTTGTAAACTTGGAGAACTTTTCGTGTCCTCTATGTTGAGGACACCACTAACACAGCAAGGAAATTTGAAAGCCAAAAATCTTAAGTTTGAAATAAAGAAAACGTACAAATCCACTCCCTAACTTAAGTTTATTTAAGTAAAAATAATTTCCATTGAGATTCATGTCATATGATAGACTTGTTAGTTGTATCTATCAGAACAGGCCCAAGTCCAACTTGCTGCTGACTGAAAGCTCGGAGAACAAGAGCACATATGTTTCTATATTTAAGTTACTTTTTCCATTCATTTTATTGCTTAAAACAGACGTATCATTGTATAGCAAATACAAAATAAAATTTATATACATATATTGACATAGTAAAGTACGGAAGATGATAATTTAATACTGATAATATACCTAGGACCAACCAAGGACCAATGGTAGAATTTTCTGTGTCATTAATTTGACATAATTTATATATTTAAATTCATTTGATTAATGTAGACTTTCATCAAGCGCAACAAAAGTTTGAAGAAAGAATAATACTAAAAGCTATAGACATTCATTGCACAGAAGGGAGATACTAGTATGTACAAAATGTCTCCAAAGCAGTTTTACTATTATTTTTTTAATGCAAATGATTCACTACATTCGGTTCATGAAGATACACTTTAGATTTTCTTAGAAGTATTATATTGTAATTTAGGGAAGTTTTGATTCACGTTAAATATTTTGTGCTCTGAAAATGAATATAGAGGAACATGATGAATTTAAAAATATGTAACTTGACATCAAGTCACTTTGCGTTATATTTGGCGAGAGTCTTAAACCTTACATTGAAGCCATTTATTTCATCGTCAAGGGAAATGATATAGACAGGGTGAATAAATAAAGACACCATGTTTGTATAGTCAGAAAAAAGAGGAAAGAAGATACGTGTATATATGGTAAATAAGAAAATTTGATTTACCTCCCTATATAAGTCTGATGAGGTTGTGGTACTGTATATACATTTGATGTATTGGATGTTACAAATAAGAGTATTGTTCAAAGTCTTAAGAATAGTCTTCATTTAAAAATTAGTTTTCTGAGAAACAATAAACTAAACATATAAAAGATTTTTTTGGGATTGTTACAACTCTAACTCAAGGATCACATGTAATAGAACACTAAAATTAATGATTGTTAGTAAATAATATTGTTAGATAGTAGTTGTTGCGATTTTAAAGATAAGTTCAAGTCATATACACCTATCTCAATAACAATTACATACTCTATTAATAAACGAGAGTTACATTTTCTTATCAGTTGCTCTTAACTTCAAATGAATGAAAGCTACTAATTAAAGTCGAAGTGAACCTGTCTATAATTTATATGGAGATAGGTACAGTCTATTTAAAATAAACATACATATTTGAAGATAAGTGCAGGTATTTGAATACATACTAAGGATGATCCATACAAAACCAAAAACGCGGAATTAGCTTCATTAACGCCTTACGAATGTTTCCTTTTTATACTGTATATATGAATGTTACATATTTTACATGTGGCAAATACACGTATAATTGAACTGAACTTTAGGTTACAAGATACTCAAAATCCGGAGAAAATTGTTTTTTAGGATAGCTTCTTGTATTTCTACCTACCTATCCTCTTCGCTTCCAGTGGAGCATAAGGTCAACTCAAGACTTCGCCACTCAGCTCTCTCCTTGGCCATGGTCTCTTCCTCTCCCCAAATCAGTTGAAGGTCTCTCAGTTCGCCTGTCTTGCGCCAGGTGGTTTTTGGTCTTCCCCTTGGTCTTTTTCCTGGTGGTGTTCATCTTAGGGTGACTTTTGGAATTCTCGATCCTTCCATTCTAAGGACATGTCCTAAACATCTGAATCTCCTATGTTTTAACTCATTGAGGATACACTTTGAGTTTGTCAGTTTCAGTAGGTCTTGTATTTCATTGTTTTTTAAATTCAAGTTAATTTTTATACCCTGTTCATAGATTTTTAATATTCACAACAATCAAAATGAATTTGAATACCCATACCTATACTGGATTCCAAAACTCCATAAAAATCCTTTTTACAGACAAAGATATAAAACAGGTTCAACTAAATGCTCTACCAAGCCTCTTTCTTTACTCCTCACTAAAATATTTACAGCAGTGAAGGAGAAAGTTCGGGAATACTGTACAACAGTATATTCCAGAAGTGATGTGAATAAGACGTGGATACTTAAAACTCCAAGGAACTTTTAGAAAATTTGAAAATTTTACCAAAATCAAAAGCATCAAAACGTACGACTTTTCAACACTTTATACAACCATTCCCCACGATAAATTAAAGTCCATGCTTATTGACATCATAGCTGCTTTTTCAATAAAAATGGAACTCATAAATATACTTACCTTGTCATTAGTCATTTGCAAATTTATTTTGTTAAAACATTCTGATTGAACATACAAGTACTCTGAAGATGATATTCAAAAGTTACTTGAGTTTCTTATTGAGGAATTCGCCCCGTTATTAGCAGACCTATTTTTGTATTCATATGAAGCAGAATTTATTTAAAAACTTTTTCATGAGAAGAAGAAAAACTTGCTGTCAACTCGACATTTAGATACTATGGTATATCGACGACGTATTATCATTTAACAATAGTTACGTCCATTCATATGTGGATTCGATATATCCCAGTGAACTTGAAATAAAAGACACCACAGAGTCTGACTCATCCGTTTCATATTGGATATTTTACTAGAAAAAGACGTTAATGGTAATCTAACAATAAAGCTGATAAACGGGATGACTTCATCTTTTCTATCGTCAACTTCCCTTACTTATGTAGCAATATACCCTTATCACCTGCATTTGGGGTTTATGTCTCCCAGTTGATTCGATATGCAAGAGCATGTTTTACGATCAATTTTTAAAACGAGGCATTAACCAACAAGTTGATGAAACAAGGATATCAGCAGTCTCGTTTGAAGTCATTATTTCGTAAGTTCTATGGTCGATACACTGACCTGATCAGCAAATACAATCTATCATTAGGTCAAATGCTGACTGACGTTTTTCATACTAATTGTTGGGTCATTATTTACACACTGAAATTTCTATGGATTTTTCCGTCTACCCGATCATGACAAGGAGCACACGGCGGCTGTGACCGGTCGACAGGGGATGCTTACTTCTCCTTGGCACCTGATCCCGCCTCTGATGATTTTGGAGGTCCTTGTTTTCTTTTCACCAGATTTGTCTTGTTTAAATGGACTTTGAGCTTGAATACTGTTCTTTATCCTACAGTGTATATTTCATTGTAGGTTTTTTTTTTAGATGTTCGTAATCTTCATCTATATCATTTTATTGTAAACTTTAAGATATTTTCCATTTGTATTCTATAATTGTTTATTTGTCTTCATCATTTGTGTTAAATAATTTATTTGTATTCTATAATTATTTATTTTCTGTATATCTTGTATATTTCCTATTTGTATTCTAGAATTCTCTATTTGTAATCTTATAATTTTATTCCAATTGTATTGTAAAATGCCTCATTCGTATTCTATTATGTTTCAATTGTATTGTATTGAGCTCCATTTGTATTCAATAATTCTAATGAAATTGGCAGATTGACCCAATGTATCATACAAACATAACCTTTTTATGAGGTCGATCCATAAATATATTGATTTCACAGATAGGCATATCGACTGAGCACGAAGTGCAAAGTTGATATGGTTTTCTCTGAAATCAATTTATCTATGGATTGACCGAATCAAAGGGCTACATTTGTTATGTTATTTTTTGGAACAAAAGAGAGACAAACAAATCATCATTAGATTTTGTAAGTTTTAAAAAAAAATTCACTATTATAAACCCATCTTTAGATTTCCAGTTACCTAAGTCATTACCGCAAAATAAAATTTTGCATGTGATATCAAGTAAACCAATCAGATTTATTGAATTACACAGTAAAAATAATATAA